CCACCGGCAGAAGAGGAGCAGCCGCCTGCTGAGAGGCAGAGCCGCCCCCTCCCCCCCGCGCCTGCAAGGTAGTCGGAACTGAGACCACCATCAGAACAGGTCAGACCTGCAACCGAGAGACAGAACAGGCCCAGTGGCCTGAGGAAGGGTAGAGCCGCCCCCCCCCAACGCCTGCAAAGTAGGCGGACCTGCGACCCACTGGCAGTACAGCCCCAGAGGCCTGCAGAGGGGCAGTGCCGCTGCCTGCGCCTGCAAAGTAGGCAGAACTGCGACCACCGACAGAACAAGCCTAGCGGCCCGCAGAGGGACAGAGCCGCCGCCCGCGCCTGCAAGGTTGGCGGACCTGCTACCGACTGGCAGAGCAGGCCCAGCGGCCTGCCGGCGTGGTAGGCACATTGCCCCAATTGGCGGAGGGGCAGAGCCGCCGCCCGCGCCTGCGAGGGAGACTTTGCAACTATACAAGACCAATATAAATATATAGGGGGAAAATTCAATAGCACAACAGTTTCACCAAGTAGAAAGGAACGCGAACAGTATGAAGAGACAAGGAAAGAAAGGACCACAAGCAATGCAGGTCAACTCAACGTTAGAAGAGGTAATAGCTGCAGCAGATGGAATGTCAGATAAAGAATTCAGGATATACATGCTTCAGATGATCTGGAGTCTCAAGGAAGACATCAGACAGCAAAATCAGACAATGAAAGATCACTTCAACAATGAATTACATAAACAAATCCAAGAAGCAAAAGATCAACTATACAGGGAAATAGAGGTTATAAAAAACAAACAAACAGAAATCCTAGAAATGCAGGAAGCAATAAGCCAACTTAAAAACTCAATTGAGAATACTACCAGCAGAGTAGAACACTTAGAAGACAGAACATCAGACAATGAAGATAAAGTATTTCAACTTGAAAAGAACATAGACAGCTCAGCAAGACTGTTAAGAAACCATGAGCAGAACATCCAAGAAATATGGGATAACATCAAGAGACCAAATTTAAGAGTCATTGGGATACAGGAAGGGACAGAGTTTCAAACCAAAGGAATGAGCAATCTATTCAATGAAATAATACGAGAAAACTTCCCAGACTTGAAGAATGAGACAGAACCCCAAATCCTAGAAGCCTACAGGACGCCGAATGTGCAAAATCATAAGAAACATTTTAAAACCTCTATAATTAAACAATGTAGAATTAGTGCATGAATAACTAGACTAATAGAATGGAATAAAAAGTTCAGAAATAGATCCAAGTGTATATGGAATTTAATGTTACAAATCAGGAGGAGGAAAAAAGTGGATATTTTATAAAAGGGCCATGGGACAATTACATAGCTATTTGCAAATGGATTCATACCTCACTCCATATATAAGGACAAGTTCTAAGTGGATGGAGCTCTCTATATAAAAATGAAGTCATAAAAGTGGCGGCAGAAAATGGGGTGAATTCCTTTATAATCTGAAAGTGAAGAAAACCTTCTTATCTATGACTCAGAAATCCAAAAGCAAGCAAGAGAAGATTCTTAAGTTAGACTTCAGTTATTTTTTTGCATGGCAAACACACACACACACACACACACACACACACATATTTCTCATGGGAATGCAAAATATTACCACCTTCTACAAGAAGAAGTGGGATTTGGCAATGTCTAGAGAATCTCCATGTACAGTCACTGTTTGATCCAGAAATCTCAATTCTGAGAAGCTACCCCAAAGATTCAGTGGCAAAAATATAAAATTATCATGCAAAGGCTGAAAACAATCTTCTGGCAAAATAATGTGCCCCAAATATGTCCATACCTGTTCCCTAGAACCTGTGAGTATGTTCTCTCACCTGGCGGAAGACTTTGAAGACATAATTAAGGTTAAGAGCCTTTAAACCAGGAGATTGTCCAAGTAGATCCAAAGCAAGCAGAAGAGTCCTTAAAAGAAGAAGAGTGCCAGAGACGAGGCTAAAGGAGGGGAGAATCAAAGTCTGAGACTCAACTCATTGTAACAGACTCTGAAAATTGGGGAGGGACCATGAGGCACAGAATACGGTGGCCTGTGGCAGCTGGATGGCCTAGCTAACAGATCCTCATAAACAGGATCTCAGTCCTGCAACTACAGGGAAATGGCACTCTGCCAACATTTTCATGAGTTTGAAAGTGAACTCCTCCCCAGAGCCTCTAGAAGAGACCCTGCCCTGGGGATGCCTTGAGTTTGGCCCATGAAACCCGTGTTGAACTTCTGACCTATAAAACTATGATACATTTGTGTTGCATAAGGCAATAAGTGTTTGTTAATTTGTGAGGGCAGTGATATAAAATGAATACCCAATCCAAATGTGCCCCCAACTAAAAGACTAGCTAAGTAGATAATCCCCAGTGCATGCCCTCTGGGGAGACCTGTCCATGGAAGTACAGGAAGTATCGAGGGAGCCATCTACATGGATAACCAGTGAGCTTCAGGATGCTGTCACACGAGGAGTGTGAAGTTCAAGATGCTGCCTTCCATGTGAGAAAGTGAGATATGAATATATGAATTTGCTTATGTTGCTGGGGGAAAAAAGAGATTAATTCCAAACCTAATACACGTAGCTATCTATGGGAGAGACAGGAAACAGGGTGAAGGGGGGACTAAGGTGAACATAAATTTCTCTGAATGTGACTTTTTAAAAAACAGTTTTGACTTTGAGATCATGAATGAATTATATGCTCCAAAATAAATTTAAAATTTTTCTAATAATATTCCTAAAGAAAATAATTTGATTTTTTCCTTTTTATTGGTTCTTTTAAGCAAAATAATTTTTAAAGAAATTGGTCATTAAAAATTGAAGCACAAAAACGAAATACATGAAACAAATTCACTTATTCTCTATTAAGCTGGTGGTTACACAGTCAAAAAAAAGAAAGAGTTACACAGCATGACTTTAGAACTCAATGTTTTGACTGTATATGCATGGTAAAATGTATCTTAGAGACAAACACTCAAATTGCATTTGATAGTTACACTACTAAAATCACCATTTTGAAACTCTTAATATAATAGTCACATAGAATAAATATTTATGTATGGGTTTCTAAAAAACACAATTTTAGCATAAGAAAAATGATATTTAATATATAAATTCAGGAATAATAATCTTAAAAACTGGAATGAGAATATTGATATGTATTCATCATTAAAAAAATTTTGTAGTTGTAGATGGACACAACTCCTTCATTTTATTTGTTTACTTTTTTCATGTGGTTCTGAGACTCGAAGGCAGTGCCCCTCACATGCTAGGCAAGCTCTCTGCCACTGAGCTACACCCCAGCCCATGTATTCATCATATTTTTAAAAATATCATTTCTTCTTTCTGTCCACTGGAAAGGTCTAGAACCAATGACCAACTGATAGCAATAATCACCCATCCCTCTGGTGCCAGGTTATGGTCCTTTAAGACTCCTCTACACTAAATGAAACCAAGGCCTATCAGATGGAGGGATGGCTCCACCTGAGCTTGGGGCAGGAAGGTACAAGCTGGGCCTGAGCGGCCTCAGAAAGCAAAGTAATCACCAAAAATAGGTGGCTTCCAGTAAGGGGGCCCAGGACAAGAAAGACTGCCCAGGCTAAAGATGGATGAATTTGGGGCTCAAAAAAGAATAATGACAGCAGGCGGCTGCAACATACTGAATATATAAAACCCTATAGCCCTATACTTCCATAATAAAACTCAGGGAAAGAGATAGCAGGCAAATAAATAAATAAATAAATAAAAGAGGGAAAGAAAAATCTTAACATTAAAAATAACAGGGATAATTGGTAATTAAAGGAAAAGATATCAAGGTTCTTCTACATTTTCTTCTAAGATTTCCAAAGTTAACTTCCATTATTTTGGTTTTCATCCACTGGGGATTGATTTTCTTGATTAGATGTGATGCAGGGACATATTGTTACATTTCTAAGTAAATAAATGTTCCAGCATCATTTATGGATTGATCCCATGTACATGGTTCACACTTTGAGGATCCTAGGTAGGTTTTCAGAAACGTCTGCTTGATGAAACTTGTTAAGATGTGGATGGACTCCATCCTGATTTATGGCCAGTTTCCAGGAGTGACAGCCTTACCATCACCCAGTGCCAGTGCAGGCATTAAAGCCACTAGGGTTTCACTGCAGACAATCACCGCTCGGAAACTTTACTGCTCTCGTAATCTGGCTCTTTATCTTTTTTCTCCTGCTTTTATTAGAACACAGAAGTGGCAGACTGTGGTATTCACCCCTGTTGGTGGGTCCTGTCCAAGTACATCCCTCTCACAGACACCCTAGCCCTGCAGTACCGCTGTGGGCCTTGGCATCAGAACCCGAGTCTTTCCCACGGCTCACTCTAGGATCCCGTGTGATCTGTGCCCACTCTCACCATTCACTTCGCACCTCTGTCTGTGTGCTGCCTCCTGCTGCCCTCCAAACCCAACCTGGGAGTTCCTTCCTGAGAACCAGAGGTCCTTCCACCCAAGAGAGAACATTTCCCTGTTACAGCAGAAACCTCATCAGTTTTTGCTTATTGCTAAATCCTCCATGCCTAAAACAGTGCTTGGAGATTGAACATGCTCCAGAAATACTGTTGAATGAATGCATATTCTTTGACAGACAAGTTGTGCTAAACAGTCAATCCCATCAGTATATTTGGTAGCTGATTGTGATGCAGAAGTTTAAAAACAAATCAGTCAACTGGGTTTTCAAATTTGGGGTACCTATTTTGAAACAACTTGAATTTGAACTCTTATTCTCACTCTTTTGATCACCCAGTAAGTAGGACCCTGTCTTCCCTGGTCTTGGCACATCCTGTCCCCAGCATCTGAGTTGGTTCTATCCTCCCCTTCTCCTCCTCTAAGCAGAATCACATCAATTGTCCCTATGTCCTTGCTGCTGCTATTGGGTTGTCCTGCAAGCATCATTCAACCGTCCCTCAAGGACAGATCCCTATGATACTTTCTGGAAACTTCAGCTTCTGGTTTTATGAGACACATACCTGCCCCTCCACAATCCATCTGGAGATGGATGTCTTCCCATCGTAGCCTGGCCGGAACTGCAGAGTAGCTGAGCGAGGGCTGATATTGGAAATGACCAGGTTGGACGGTGCCCCAGGAAGGTCTAGAGATGAATGAGAGAGGGAGGTGGGGTTAAATTCTGTCAAGACTTAGGCAGGTATCATGTCAGTTTTGTGCCAGTTTCTATACCAAGAAAGAGTTGTTTTTCAAAACAATGAAAGTAAAAAGTAGCAGAACTTCCTCCAGGATAGAATTGAGCCTGTCATCTACCAGGCTCCAGGCTACCTGAAGTGGCCCTAGGAGGCACATGTCTCATTTCTTTCTGAACAGACATGGTAGTTAATTAATAAGTACTTGTTGAATGAGCAAAGGGTAAATGAATGTAATTCCTCCCATCTGCTAAAACCACTAAGTGTTGTGTCCAGCTTTCTTTCATCATTCCCATGATGCCCTGGGAAGGAGGGTCAGGGAGGCCAGGGACAAGGATGGCTTCTAGGTAGAATGACATGGCAGGTGTTCAGGTCTTAGGCTTAGGCTTCTTGGGTTTGGTTTCCAAGACAACCAAATGCAGGTGACAGTGCAGAACTCTTTCCACTCTGCCTGTATTCCGTTGCTTTGGCAACGAGACAAGGTGGAAGGTGGGTGTGCGCAGAAGGAGGCTGCCATCATCTGAGCCTCCCCATGGCTCATGCTGTCTCGCAGACTAGACACCCTTGGGTGGGATGCTCCCCAAAGAACCTTTCCAGCTCACGAGTGCAATACTGTGTGTTCAGATGAGAGATCTGATGATTTATATAATAATTTTGTATTATTTGTTAGGTGATGCACAATACCCTAGAGAAAGATAATGGGATAAAATGAAAAAAAGAAGATTTCAATTCAAGCCAGCTTTCTACCTGCAGTGTTCCTAAGGAGTGACTTCCTAACATGCATTGCTGGGGCATTTAAAGGCACTTGCCAGGGACAATAAAACCACTTGGTCATCAGTTCAATATTGGCACATGCAGGGTCTCTAGGATCTCAAGGGTCCTTCTGCATCTAGTTTAATGAATTTGAAGCAGAAAATGTTTAAACTGGAGGACAAGAGACTCTTTTCGTTATATTCCTCAGCTCTCAGTCACTAATGGATATGAACCTCAAGAAGGGCAAACAGAACACAGCTCCCCAGAAGGGTCTGTCCTCACAGCATGCTGCCCACAGCTGATTCCTGTGGTATGCCGCAGGATGGCTCTCCAGCTGTAGGTGACCTGTCCTGCAAACACAGAACAGCAGCCCCCACTCCCTTCACCCTTGACTAACAGGCCTGATCTATTTGCCCCCAGATCGCCCCACTGCAGGTCCAGGTGTGGCATGGACACAGTAATGCTGGATGCAGAGGGCATCTGGAGGTCAGTGAGCCCAGTCTCCTGCCCTGGATAGACAGTGTCCAAGCCATCCCAATAAAACCCTGGTAACTCATGCACGGGTGTACTTCCCATGCTGCCCTCCGTCGGTGTGTGCAGCCCTTATAACAAATTAAACAGTGCCACATCATCACCAGTGTTCTGAGAGTACTAATGATATTTCAAATATGTGCTTTGGGAACTGGCTTAAGACACTTTAAATATGTGTTATGGGAACTGACTACTTGTGTAAGATAAATGAAGAGATGAAAAAGAATCTTTCTGTAGGTCAAAGACTTAAAACAAGGCTGAACTGCCTCAGAGCAGCGGTTCTTGAGTGGCATTCGGCTGCAGCAGCTTCGCCTGAGTACTGATGACCTCAGAGTCATTGCAGATCAGACCCTGGGGGAAACTCTGCTGCAGGATGGGCCTATGGATTTTGCACAGAGGCAGTGTGAGGGTCACGACTGGATGGGCAGAAAGACATGCCCCTGTGTTCCCTGCTGGGGGTGGCTCAGTCCAAGGGAGCGCTCCTCCAGCAAGGGCCAGGGAGGGCAGAGTGTCTTGTGGCAAAGAACCACAGAGAACCTTATGACTAAGTGGCACCAGAGTGGCACCATGGGGGAGGTATGGGACAGCAAACGGTGGTTCACAGGAGGACTTTCACCGTCTTTGTTTTATGTGTCATGTATTATCTTCCAATCACGAATGCCACCCTCCCAGGAGAATAGTAGGGTCATGAAACCTGAACTGAAAGTGAGGCAAGTATGGGGACAGGTGTGGCTTCCCGTGGGTCTTTCAGACTTTACACATGAGGCAGTCATGTTTCTCTCAAATACGGCAAGCTGACATCTTTTAAATGGCAAGAGACTTATAGCTTTAATTAAAGAATTGCTCTGACCTCCCCGTGACATTTTCTCACATTCACATGTATTTCTGATTCTCTGCAAAAACACCTTTATTTTAAATGTAAACTTTACAATTGGAGAAAAAAAGAAATGGGTAGCAATTTTCTAAAGCTGGAATGAGTGTGTGGAACATTTAGGAAGATAGCCTGAATTTCAAAAGGACAGGTCTGAGTCTGGCGGCACTGGAGCGCCAGCTGGACGAGGGCAGCTTGCCAAGCACACCCCTAGCTCCGGCCCCTGCCCTCTGCCCCCTGCCTTCTGCCCCCTGCCCCTGGCCCATTCTTCCCACTGTCTCCTGCTCCTTTTTCTTGTTGAAACCCTCAGTTTGTACTTCTTGTAAAGTGAGTAAAGCTCTATGCTTCCTACTCTAAATGGCAACCTCTCCTTCCCCCTTAACACATTCCCACTCGCAGGAGAGACAAGGACAAGCCCCATCAGATAAGCTGGAGAGCGAGGCTGAAGGCAGCCGATGCCTGCTTAACCTCCTGCCCAGAGTGGTCCAGCAGGAGGCTGACACTCCGCCCTGTTCAAGGCATTCAGTGGGTTCTGCAAGGAAATGCCATTGACCTTGAGGGTCAGGAATCTGTACAGGAAAGATGAGAGCAGGAAGGGTGCTCAGGGATCTTACCGACCTGGGGGCACTCCAGAAGAGATGGTGGATGAGGTGGCCAGGCCCACCCCTGCTGCAGTCAAGGCTGCCACATCAATGGTGTAGGTGGTGAGGGAGGACAGTCCTTTGATTTTATATTCGTGTGTTGTGCTATTGAGGGTGTGCGTGAGCCGAGAGTCGTTCTTTCCATACACCTCCCAGGAAATCTGATAGCCTGAAAGGACAAACAGGAGTTGAGTTGTGACCCCCACCAGCCTGAGGACTGAGACGGATGCCATGCCATTATCTTGGCAGATCTGGGACAGCTGAGGCAAGGAGGAAGTTCAGCTAGATCTGCCAAGGTCACGGTGGGATTCATGGCCCTGCCCAAATGGAAATGAAGCAGGGCTCCTGCCTCTGTGCCCCACAGAAGTTCGCCATACCCCTTCTTTCACTGCAGTGGCAGTGTTTCCCCAACACAGTGAGCCTCAGGAACCTGGTGTGTAGACAAAGAGTGGCGGATGATTATCATCAGCTGCTTGCTCCGCATAGCTCCTCTTGTCTAGTTATGTGTGGTGCATTCTGCCAATATTTCCATTTTAAGAAGCTACTATTTTCGTGATATTGTGCTCTAAACCAATGGCTTGCTCTTGGGTTGCATCTGGTTTCTGGAATCCCTTCTACCTTTTCCTTTTTTAGATGATTGACAGACCACTCTTCCAGTTTGCAAAGTGCTGTCCCTGGAAAAGTTCCTTTTTACCTGAGAGTGTGAGTTTTGCTTCTAGCTTTCCTTCTTCCCTTTTTGGATATTCTGTTTTCTTAGCAAAATTTAATTTCCCCCTATACTCTCTTCGGTCCTGCGGGGCCTCATGATCACAATTTATCCAACTCTCACAACTTGAGGCTTGGAGAAAAAGAGATCTGACTAGTGCCTGAGTCACCTTCCTCAGAGGGGTAGAGAACGCTTAATGTGTCTTTTAAATAAAGAGGGAGACCGTGATGGAAAGAGCTCTTGGGTCCAAGATACAGGAAAATTGCTGAAAGCACTTGCTCCCCCTTCTCCTCAGTCAATAAGCTCGGGGATGCTAAAGCACCAGGATGCATCCTGACTTCCTTCTCTTTCTGATGAAAGTAATAAATAAAGCTGGAAAGTTGCATTTGTAGGTGAACAAGAATTTAGAGGAAAGCATCTTGGGACTTTAATATTTTAGAAAACAAAAAAAGAAAAAAAGACTAATGTCAAAACCAGCTCCCTACTCACTGTCCCTGTAGTTCTCATGCAATCTGGCAAGCTCAGTGTGCAGGCCCAGACACTTTCAAGCTGGGTGGTTCATCCAGGAACAGCAAAAGAACAAAGGTTCCAGAGGGGTGCTGGCCACAGTGCCACAGGGCCACCAGAATACCTGGAATTACACTGGCCAGTGGCTGGGTGGGTCTTTGCTCCAGCCATGTAGACCCCTGGGCCACCTTCCTCTGTGCAGGTTCCCACTACCTCTTGGAACCAGTCCCCTTTTCCTCTGCACAGTGCTGGCTTGCTGACTCCTGGCCACTGCCTCCTCCCAACTCCCCAGGGTTGGGTCTCAGGCTCTCCCTCCTAACCTGCTGCCCAGCCAGCTCATCTGTACAGACCAGCACTAAGATCACTAGGCTCCTCATTAGTTCTTTCTTTTTGGCTAATTTGAAATTTTGGAAATAATTATACAATTAATAAAACAAAAACCTTCAGGATAATGAATACTAACAATATCAAACAGAGTGTGCACAAGGTCCCTGGGAACATTCTAAGTACTCCTCATGTAACCCACATAGCACACCTTTGACACTGGAAAGCTGCCATCCTCATTTTACAAAGGGGAAATGGTACAGGGAGCTTCAGGAACTTGCTAGAAACCAAGAGGCACTTCTAGGTCCAGGCTTCTCCTCAGCATGACAATGTCCTGCCACCCATGCCAACTTCTCCATAGTGTCTGAAGAATGTGTCTCCATAGGTCAGACACATGACCTGACCTTGAGCTCATCAGGTCAATGTGGAGCTGAGACACAGCCATCCCAGCCTCTTTAGTAAGAACAGCATTGTTGGGATTTATTAGAATCAAAATTGATAATATGGTATGTTCAAATTGTTATGGATATGAACAAAAACCAAATGAACAACTAAGGAGCCTGCTCTGCTTAGCAAGGCCCTAGAAAAACAGCATCAGGGAGAAAGGCCAGCCCGGACCTCACAATGAAGAGCAGCACAGGACACAGCAGCACAGGACACAGCAAGCCCACAGACAGACAGGGCAGTGAGCACGTGGCAGTTGAGGATGCCCTCCCACTCGTGTGCAGCTTTGGGGATGTGCTGGGTGGACCCAGTCGCTCTGGCCAGAGACTGTTTCATCTGGCTCTAGTGCCCCTGTATGAAAGGAGAGGGGAGGGGCGCCAGGAGCCGGGCCGGAGCCTCCAGCTTCGTCCACCTGCTCCAAAAGGCTGCCTAACTGAGACTAACGACCAGAGGAGCTTCAGAAATAATTTTCTGTTGATCTGAAGTAAATTCTCTACAAGAGAGCAGTGCATCCAATCACAAACTGTCTGTCTGCATCCCGGCCCTCATAAATCAGAGTGTACAGAGGGAAGAGTGGAAGACACTGAAATTTACAATAAGAGTCCGATGGGCAATTTACTCGGGTGGGTGCTTGGCTGCCCCTGCTCAGCGTTTCCCTTTCATTCTGGCCCCAAATTAAAACTGAGACACAGGGGGGCCTGATGTGGCTGGGCTGATAAAGCAGGATTTCCAATGGGCCCCAACCATACAGCGTGCAGGGCACAGGACCAAGCCATCAGCGAGGGGCCCATGCTCCTCCCTGCAGAGGCCTTCAGCATCAGCTGCCCTGAGGGCCAGGTCTTGGGGAGACGCGTGGGCTCTGGGGGCCTCGGTGGCCTGCAAATACAGCTTTTCTTTTGCTATACTTGATAAAATACCTCCAGTACACAGAGACGTCCATGGTGCTGCTGGAATGTTCCATGGGAGAGTCTATGTGGGGTGCCACTGAGAGCCACACTGAGGGTAGGTGTCACAGAGAGGTGAGGGGGCGATTTTCCAGTGACACAGCCATCCACCTCACCCTTGGGAACCTTCTCCTCTATAGTACTGCTCAGACAGAGCATGGGCACCCATTGCAGTTTCTGAGGATGGGGTGTGCTTTATAGTGTGGGCAGAAACAGAAACACAGGCCACGTGCAGCGAGGTGGGAACAACATGGCCCCTTGAGAAGAGGGACAGAGTCTGTGGCAGCAGCCCAGGCAGTGGTGAGAGGCAGGCTGGCAGACTCCTACTTGGAAGAGCCCAAGCCTTCCGAAGGTCAAGTTCCACAATAAACCATAGGCGTTTGCTTGTAACTACAGGTATTTGTTTAAATAAAATACGAAAATGAGTTCATTAAGCCCTATTAGCTGGCAAGAACAGCTGATCATAAATTGGAAGTATTGGCACCCACACTTGGCTATGCAACTTGGGGAACTCAACCTACTCCACCTGCTATTCCCCCTCAGGCTTTAAAGTGAGAATGGAGACTGCACTGAGATCAGAGGGACAGGGCAGGCTACGCCCATGTCTGTGACAGGGACACCCTTCTGAGACAAGATGTCTACCCAGGAGTCTCATCCAGAGTTCTGGAACACGGCAGACTGCCTTGAAATGCCAACTGGGCAGAGAGGAATTGCCAGTCTCTCTCCCTTGGTAGCCTGCTTCTCAACTGGTGGCAAGCATGGCTTTGTTCAGTGCCAGGGTTACCCTGAGAGGTGCCCATACAAGGCCAGACTGAAGCTGTCTGGACCTGCACGCAGCCCTGCCAAGCCATGCACACCCCGCCCCACTCCCCGGAGTGATTTTCCATCCTTTTGTGGCATAAAGCAATGCTAACCAGTGGGCTCCTGCTCTCCATCGTGTCCCGCCTATCCCCACCATGTTGACTTCCTTCCACGCCAGGAGACAGGAGGGCTTTCTTAGTCTGTACACTCAGTGCCTGCAGTCCTGTGCCCGAGAAGACCTCATCCCAACAGACAGGGGTTTGAAGTCCAGTTGGGACAGTGCTACTTCCCAGTCCTGGACTGAGGCACCCCGAGTGGGTTTTAAAACATCGGCTTCTTGAAGGCAGGCCAGAGGATATGTTCACTTCATTAAAATGTCTGAGGTGGCATTAACTTCAGGGCCTGTGAGTGATCAGCACAGCCACCCTGTGAAGGGTTCGGTGGACACAGTTGCTCACGGAGCACATACCTAAGGGCAGTGGCAGGCAGACGCCGGTTCTGCTGCTGGAAGGAGACTGGAGTTAGGGTGGGGACAGTTCCTGGAATGGCCACTGGGGTGCTGAACTCTTTGCAGTGAACTCCCAGGGCAGTGACCTTTGCTGCGGTGACACACAGGGTGTCTGACACCTGTTCCTACCACATGCCAGATGGAGTTCAGCGTCCCAAGGAGAGTGTGGCCCTCCTCTGTACACCCTATCCTCTCATAGCAGAGTTTCTGGCTGTTGCTGTGATATAGCATGAAACAACACTGTGAAGGAGGAAGTCAAAAAGTAACAGGAAAATCCAGGAAGCCCAGTTAGATGAGCCCACGGCTCAAGAAGCAGGACAGCACCAGTAGGGGCACACAGCCCACTGCGAGCACCTGTGGCCAGCGAGGGAGGAAGAGGGTACTCTGCTCTTGATGTGCATCATTTTAAATGGCTGTTAAGCTGTCAGCACACAGGCCCTGATGTCATCTGGCCCTACTGAGCAGGCCTGCCAGGAACGTCCTTGGCCGAGGGCTTTGAGAGACATGCAGGAGGCTGTGGACAGGGGAGAGAGGGTTCCCCCATGGGGCAGGGGCACAGTTCACCTCTGGGTCCACATTTGATGATGCAGAGGAGAGAATGGATGCCAGTCCTGGTGCTGGCTGGGCCACTGTAGGTCACGTGACCATGGGAGTCACTGCCCTAGCTCAATGTTCCTATCAAGTGGATGGGTGCAGGCTGTGCCTCTGTAGTGGTAGAGGCTGTGCCTCCTGCAGCTTTGAGGTGCCTGGGCAACAGGGTGCCCCGGGTGGTCACTGTTGTCGTCCAGGATGCTGGTGGCAGGAGGAAAGGATCACAGCCCGGTGGCAGTGACAGGCCACCTGTGCTCATCTGTAGGCTGCAGGTTCCTTGTGCAGGTTTTCAGACACAGTGGACAGCAGGTATTTGCTCCAGGAACCACAGGAAGCTAAAGTTCCCTGGGTCTGAGAATGTGACCACTGTCATGTTGTGAACAGCTCAGGCTCCAGACTGACATGTGTGCTGACAAATGACTCACTCAGAGCTGGGACCACCTGGACCCTAAGGGCCCGACTGCAAAATACCTAGGAGAAGCCTTTGATGGGATATGCCATGCTATTGGCAAAGTCCCTAGTGAGTACTGACATATGTACTCAGTGTGTGTGTGGCCAAGCAATAAGAATATGAAGTGGCTTGCTTAAAATTCCAAAAAAATATTTTGGAAGAGAAAAGGGCTGCTCACTGGTGGCTAAGCGGCTCAGGGCCAGCTGGTGGGCCACCCCCTCAGTACAACTTGCCTCAGTTAGTCCTCAATAGCCCTGGGGGGTGACATGGTCCACAGTTGACACAGGGCCTGGGAGGTCAGCTGCAGTGCCCACAGTGGAAGAGAGGCCTCCCAACTTCATCCGAGGCTAAAGCCTCTGCTGGTTTCATCAAACCAAGATTTCTTTCTTTTCAAACTGAGATTTAAATTGAGCTTTAACCTGAACAATTTTCAGAAACCTCTTCTATAAAATAATCACTGAAAGTCCTACAAAAGGTGAGCTGCTTCCTGGAGGCACCTCACACCACAGGAGGGGAGTCTCACTGAGAGGCAGCCATGTGCGCCCAGGCCTCCTGGGCACAACTCAGAAGCCCTCTCAGGCTAACAGGTAAGGCGATCTCCTCGTTCTTAGGTTTCTCGCAGTGGGGAGGGCCTGGAAGGGGGCATTTGGATTCAGGTGACCCCAGCTTTCTTCTGGCCTTGCCACTCATGGCAGTGGGGTGAGAGCCAGGACCTGGCAGGCAAGCATCATGGTCACTGCCTAACTGGCTGCATGTTGGGAACCTGCTGCAGACAGCAGGCTTTCAAAGAACACTTGCCGAATGACGGAAAGGTCCCCTACCCTCTGGCCAGAATATCAACCTTTGCCTTACCACAATACTAAGCAAATATCTCATAAAATGACCAATTCCTATTTAATCAAAGAGACTTTTAAGGCTTTTGACTATAAGGCGAACAAATCCCCAAACTGCCCACACAGTAAAATGACTCACACCTTTGAGTGGCCCTGGCCCAGGGGCTGTGACTGCCACATGGCTAGACAGACATTTCTATTATTCCGAGAGGGCCGTGATGGGCGCCCACTCTCCACTTCTCTGTCGGGGACCGTCACCACCTCTTTGTGTAGGGCACGCTTGTTGTTTCCTCTTGTGGGACTCAGGAACAAGTACCTGTAATGATGCCGTTTTTCTCCAGGGGCTCCTGCCAGCTGACCTTGAGAGATGTGTCTAGAATCTCCGTGAAGCTCAGATGTCCCACAGCTCCTGGTCCTACCAATTAAAAATAGAGGCACCTGTCAACATGAGAGCCCAGTTCTCTTTTAATCATATTTGGCTGGAAGATTCCAACTATGAGTAGGAAGAAGTGAGTAATGGCCAGCAGAAATCTGTAGGAAACATCAGGAAAAGTACACAAGGTTCAAGGGAAACAGGTTTAAAGTTGTCCTAGGTATCACTGCATGAATTATTTTGCCCCCTCTACCCCAGCCACATAGAGAACTGAAGCAATGGGCAGCAGGAGATTTATACATAAATCATGCTCGGTCTTTCTCCTTGATCTAATCTAAGGTAGAATAATCAGGTGGGCTATATTCTAAACAGATCACTCTCATGGAGTGTCCCTTGATGGACAGACATTTGCAGCCATGTGTCTGGCTTATGTGGGGCTATGGGTCCTTTCAGAAGCTAGAACAGGGATGTCTTAGCCCACACTAGGACTAGCCCACACCTGGCCCACAGGCAATGCATGCCAGACTGATCCAGAATTCCGGACTCCAAGACCCCTCTCCTGAGGGATTCCAGAGGGGCAGACAGGTGCAAGAGAAAGTGCCAGCAAAAAAATGGTTCCTTTCTAGGAATTTCTTTGCACTCTAGCCTTTCTGCTAAGGGAGTGTGGAACAGCAGAGACAAGGTTAACCTGGAGGTAAAGCTGGGTTTGAGACCTGGCTGCACTGTGCACTATCTCTGCAATTCAACTCTCAAAGCCTTGGTTTGCTCATCTGTGAAATGGGAAAATAAAAATAATTCTACAATGTAATGTGAGAATAAAATTTAATAAAGTCCAATTCTGCCTTGACACTGAGGAACTCCTCGGTGAACATTAATTGCTATCATTATTAATTATTGGAAGGACCATCCTATCACCAGAGGATATTGTCCAAAGATTAGATTTCTGCCAGTGGAGAATAGACTTGAGAAGCCACAACATGAGTTACCAACCCAAGCCCAGGCCCTGCACAGTGAAACAACCCACTCAAGGACACAGCCATGAAGCACAGTCCAGCACGTGGGTGGGTAGATCTGCTTGCTATCCAGGACAGCAGGGCAGGGAATGGGGAGGCTGCAGGCTAGACAGCAGCTCTCTGGGCAGTGCACCTCAGTTTACAGCCCTTTGCAGCTCCTGCAGCCCCCCTGGTGGGCTCAGCCCAACCTGCCTGGTGGTCAGAAGGTAGAAGAGGACACTATAGCCCAGGGGTGACATTCTTGCTGATGCTGGGCACTCCCAATTTAACTTGGTCTCTTGACAGTGTCAGTGGCTATTTGGGGCCTGGGGTATAGGCAGATGGCAATGAAAATGTTTAGGAGGTGGCTTTTAAGGTAGGAAGATGGGCTACACAGTCCAGCAGGCCCAGTGCTAAGTGGCACCTCCCAGATATCCCTCTGTCCACGGTTTACAGCAAATGCACCTGGTTTGCTCAGATCTGCTCTGAGTCCTGCCACCCTTCTGAGCCCGCTGTCCTCTGACAGTGCTCCCATGCCGACCCCTCTCAGCCCAATTCAGGAGAGATGCAAATGAAGAAGTCCTAAAGAGAGGGTGGGAAGAAAGGGTGGTTCAAAGGCAGAATTGGAGACAGAAGAAGAAAAGAAGAAGCTTGGAGGTGAGAAAGGACACTGCTGGTGTGTGCACATCAGGTGAGCACCTGCTCTTCTCCTATTGACGGTGCTGTGCCATCCAGCTCTCATGAACCTGATGGGGAGGACTGCACTGAGATCCTTTTAGTGGTAAAAAATGCAATTTTTTTTTCAAACTTAAATATGAACACATGAAGTCTAGGGTGCGGCTTGTCCTGCAGGAGAGGAGGGTTGGCAGGATCCTTGCAGACATGCCCCTCCCTGCAGTCCTTGTTCTGGTTCCCACCAGCCTTTCCTGCACAGGGACAGATTTTTAGGTGAATTCAATACCTAGTTCCCAACTGGTATGCTGACAAAGCCTTCTAACACAACTTGTGACTTTTAAAAAATGGTAACAGCCTTGGAAACCACATTCACCTGCAAAAGACTTTAGGATGAGCTCAGGCACTCTGACAAACGCAGCTTCCTCGCTTGGAAGATGGTAAAATAGAATGGCTGTCAGGACCGCCTCATCACCCTGCAACCATGAGCCCCCAGAAAAATATTCTGACAGGTTTTTGAACTGTCTTGTTCTTTTTCGATCGATGGAGTAGCAAAGAAAGCTTTTTGCTCCTTTTATATTCTCAGTGTATCTGCTTCCTGGATTTCTGCCCAAAAATGCTGTCCTCCAGCTCTGCTGGAACCAGCTGGCAATGTCTGGGCATAGATTTATACTGTTTCTCTTTACTGTCCCCCCTCCTCCAACAAGCTCCCTTGGAGCTTTAGGAAAGAAGGCCTGCTGCAGGTGGAGCTAAATGCAGCTGCCTGGGAGCCAGGGCCAAGGCCATTGCCAGGGACCACACACACAGAGGCTTCTCCCAAAGGCTGTGCTCCCTAAGCCAACTTTGTCCCACCTTCGACTTCACATTGACAAGGATGCTGCATCCTTCTAAATAGGTTAAATAGGCTCCCTGCCTATAAAATAGTTCCAATTAGAAAATTCTAAAAGGATGACCTTACTTCTTATTTTCTCTGATGGAGAGTACATAATATTTATGGCTGAAAAGCAGATGTCACAGCAAAATAGACATGTTTTAAAAGTACTCATTGAACACTTTGCCAAGGGCCACCAAGTCTTGACAAATTCAAAAGAACTAAAATCAGATCATGTGTGTTTTCTGGCCATAATGGAGTCAGATTGGAAATCAACAGCAGTAAGACCACAGGAAAATTTCCAAACACGTGTTAAATAGCATATTTCCAAATAACCATAGGTCAAACAGGGGGTCTCAAAGGAAATAAATACATAGAATTGAGTGGAAATGAAAGCATGCATATTGAAATATGTATAGTGCAGCTAAAACTGTACTGCGAGTAAAATGTATAGTACTAAAATGTTTACACTGGAAATAAAGAAAGGCCTCAAATCAATAACTCAAGTGCCTATTCTCAAGAAATTTGAAAAGGAGAAAAAAATCCAAACTAAGCAGAGGGAAGGAAATAATAAATAGCAGAAATCAATGACACTGAAAATAGGAAACAATACAAAAATCAACAAAACAAGAAACTGATTCTTTCTTAAAATATCAGCAAAATTGATGACCCTCTAGGAAGAATGATAAAGTTTAAAAAGAAGACACAGGTAACCAATATCAGGAACAAAATAGAGAACATCTCTACGGCTCCTGTAGCCTTTGAAAAGATAATAAGGGCAGAGCTGGGGTTGTAGCTCAGTAATAGAGCACTCTCCTTGCATGTGTGAGGCACTGGGTTCGATCCTCAGCACCACATAAAAACAAAATAAAGGGGTTGTGTCCAACTACAAATAAAAAAGTGTTTTCAAAAAAACTTCTTATTAAAAAATTTTAAAAAAGAAAAGATAATAAGGGAGTTTTACAAACAATTTCACATTCAGAGATCCAAACTCTTAGAAGAATGATTCCTTGAAAACCACAAACTATTAAAACACAACTGAGGTGAAACAAACAACCCGAATTGTCCTATAACCATTAAGCACATTGAATTTATTATTAAAACTTCTCTCCAAGAGAAATTTCCAGGCCCAGAGGGTTCCAATGAAAATTTCTACCAAACTTTTGAAGAAGTATCAACATGAATTTGACACAATTTCTTCCAGGAGACGAGAGAAGGGAATGCTTCCAATACCAAAACCAGACAAAAGACAGTCCCCCCAAAAGAAAACCACAGACCAATATCTCATGCAATTAGATGTTAAAGTCCTCCACAAAATATCAGCCAAGTGACTCCAACAGAAGATAAAAAGAATTATACACTGTGAGCAGGTGGGGTTTATTCCAAGTACACATGGCTGATTCAACACTACAGAATCAATCAGTGTAATCCAACAGATCAACAGAGTAAGAAGAAAAATCGCATGATCGTATCAACTGATGCAGTAAAAGCATGTGATAAAAAATCAAATATCTATTTGAGACAAAAACTCTCAACAAATTGAGAATATAACAGCGGGGGACAGCCTCAACTTGACAAAGAACATCTACAAGAACTACCCTGCATAACAGTGAGAGACTTTTCCTTTGGAGATGGAGAACAGGCAAGAGTGCCTGCTCTTATCACCCCCACTCAAGGTAGACTAGAAATTCTAGATACTACAAATAAGGCAAGAGAAGAAACAGAAGACATGGATTATAAAGGAGGAAAGGGAGGAAGGTGGTGTGGTACTGAAGAGGAACCTCAAGGATCTCTGTGGTTTCAGGACCATTCAGGTTCTTGAATGTGGTGGTGGATAAACAAACCTACACTTGATAAAATGTGTAGAACTAAACATACACATTTACACAGATGAGAACCAAAAACCTGGAGAAATCTAAATCAAGCCATTGAATGCAACCAACATTAAAATCCTGGATGTGATGCTACATTATAGTTTTGCAAACGTCAGCAATGGGAGAAACTGGGCAAAGGGTACATGGCCATCTCATTAGTGATTCTTACAACCTCATGGGAATCTATTACTCTCTCAATAAAAGTTCATTTAAACACAAAACAGAGAGCAGATCAAAGATGTAGTGTAAGACCATCCAGGATCAATTGATGGTAACAGCAGAGTTGCTTTAGATCTTTTTTTAGGGGGAAGTCAAGTCAATGGTCTCAGAAGGTCAAGACACTCATGTTCTGATCTTCCTGATATAGACCTTGTGTCAATGGCAAGGTGGCTGCACTATGGTGGATGGCTGAAACCAGACTGCTTAAGGTCTGGGAGGGCATAGAGGACAGAAGGTAAAAGCAATAGTTTATAAGGAAAGGAAATAAGAAGCCAACTGGAAAAGTCCATGGGGCAGCAAGGCCACAGAGTTGCCTGTCCAGGAAGAGGGAGACCTGAGCATCTGTGGGCTGAAGAGGTGCCATGAGAAGTGACGGGGCAGAGAAGAGCCGATGATCCTGGGAGATGGGGGAAGAAGAACCAGGGTGGGAGAAGGGTGGCGTCCCAGGGGGCACAGGCAGCTGGTCTTGGGTAGCCTTGATGTCTGCAGTGTCACCTGCTAGAGTCAGAGCAGAGGTGAGTTCAGGAAGCTGAGCCATCACCAGAGACCAGCCAAGACCTGAGAGAGGTGCAGTGTGGCCCTGGATGACCGAAAAACACACCTCCCCTAGGTTAACTCTCCTTATGAAAGAAATCATGGCAGAAATTTTAAAAATGCAGAAAAATTCAAAGGAAATGTAAAAACAAAATATCCATAGTCATTCCACATGCAGACACTGACTCAAAATTATGTACAAATGTACCTTGGAAAAATCTGGATCGTTTTATAGACTATTTTTTTTTTCTTCACTTAACATTATACTATGACCATTCTACCTCAAAAATTTTGATCTTTACGGTTTGGGTTTTTAAAAAAATATGTATTTATTTATTTTTTTAGTTGTACATGGACACAATACTTTTATTTTATTTATTTTTATGTGTTGCTGAGGATTGAACTCAATGCCTCATACATACTAGGCAAGTGCTCTACCACTGAGCCACAACTGCTTTTTGTTTTTTTAATAACTATAAATTTATTATATAGTCAGTTCATAATTTTTTTCCAATCCTCTCCACTTGGGACATTTGCTTGCTTTTCTTTTTTCTTGTTCTTCCAGTTGCAAATTACTGTAACATGTCTCCTTGGACACAAGGTATTGTTCTGTCTGTGATGATTATCTCAGGATAACTTCACCAGCCAGTGTCTTCCTATCCCACGGGTTGGTTTGGGAGCAGAGGAGGAGCTGAATGGAATCCAACAGTGGAGATAATGCAAAGCCAAAGTCAAGGAGCTCAAAAGAGCTGGGTGAACACCCCAGGGCAGAGTCAGAAGTAGAATGGGCTGGAGAACATGAATGGCAGTCAAGGAAGGTGAGTGGACTAGAAATTTAAATCTTGGTGATGAGCTAGCTCATCATGACTTAAGGAGTAGAAACGGGACAGGGCTAGTCCCCCATCTCTGTCCCCGAGCTCCTTCCTCATTCCTTGGACCACCTTCCCTGAAGCACTATCAGCTGTCAGCGACTTACCTTCCCCAGATGAGCAGCCTGCAGGCCCTCTGGGAACACGGGGCTTCTTCATGCCTGTCTCTGCCCTGGCCCAGTGCTGGAAACAGCGGCCACATCTGTCGTCAACTGACTCTGGGAGACAGGCCTAGGGAGACGCATGGAGAGGAATACTCACTGTCCTCATGCGTCCACACGAGCTGAGGTGTGCTTGGAGGCCCATCGCCTGGGGTGGTGAAACACAGGACCGACGTGAAGTAGGCAGTGAACTTCTTCAAGTTTGTTATGTACCCATGGTGGATTCCATGGAAGTCTGGGGCAATGGTGACCACAGCGGCTGCCTCAGGGACATCTGCTGGCCATGCGAGAAGCTGGAGTGAATGGGTTAAAAGAAGTCCTCTTAATTGAATTCCCTCACTCCAGACTACCAGAATTTTATTTTGCAATTGGTAGGATAAGCTCAGTCACCATTAAATAAGCCCATAAATCTTACACATTATAACCTCATTTCAAAAAGAATGAATTTCAAAGACCTCAAAATTATTGCCTACAAATGTACATATACACGCACATATTTCATACACATATATAAGTAAAATAACTAACTCATGGAATAATGGATGTTACCTCAAACCTTCACTGAAAGAACATGTCGATTTTTTAAAATCAACAAGTAAGAAATAAAATGACATCATTTTTAAATTCAAAGTAAGGAATAAAATGACATCATTTTAAAATTCAACTGTATCCATCTAAGGAGACAAACACATATATCTCTCCAGATAGGTGTCTACTATGATTCAAGAAGTTTAATAGAAACAACCTTAATTATTTATAATTGATATCACACTGGTTTCCTGAAAGAGATTTGAGGAGATTGGTCAAAATTATTTTATTTTTTACTTTGTGTTTTGGGGACTGAACGCAGGGCCTTCTCGTGCCAAATAGGTGCTCTTCCACTGAGCTCTACTCCCAGACCCTGGTTAAAATTTTAAAGCAATGGAGTAGATGCACACATTCCATGGAAAGTAGCTTCATGCTGTGGCAACATTATGTAGTGTGAGTTTTAATTCCTTTGACACCAAACATCTCTAGGACTAATTAGTTCTGAGAGCTGGCGTGCTGCAGGACACACAGCGCTTCCAAGCAGATCAAACTGACAACTGAGCCGTCAAATAAGCGCGGTAGTCTTGCGATCAGACCTGGCAGGAGAGGCAGGGGGGCCGAAGCATCTGGGTTGAGCCGTACGATTTTCTTTCAAAAAAGCTTCTGACTTTAGATACTTCTGAGGAAAAGGGAAACACAGGGCAAACTTCCAGCCACGGAGGTTTCTACCCTCCTCGCAGACAAACAAGTGTTTTAGTTAGCTGAACTGAAATCTGAGGAAAAATACAACAATGCGTACCTGGGGAGTGACCTCCTCTGAAATTGAAATGACCACAGATTCAAGCACAGAGGACAGAGCCCCTTCTTGACTCCTGAGTCTGCCAGGATAGAAGATTATATGGGGTATGTGAAAGGCAGGCAGGCTCCCAAATCCAACCAGGAGAAGGTGACTCAAGAGGAAGATGAACCCTGTTCTTGGGTTGTTTGTTTTGGTTCTGATTTGTTGTTACTGGGGATTGAACCCAGGAGCACTAAGCTATATTCCCAGCCTTTTTTATTTGGAGACAGGGCCTCACTAAGTTGCTGGCCTCAAATTTTCAATCCTCCCGTCTCAGCCTCCCTAGTCACTGGGATTACAGGTGTGTGCCATTGTGCCTGGTTTGAGTCATACTTTTGGAAATTGCATTTGAGCCAATCTATGAAGATAATAGATTCCGGTAACTAAGGACAACAGAAGTTGGATGGTGGGAATTTATCTGTGTCTCTAATTCAGTTTGGTCAAGTATCCTGTCTCACTTCTTTAAGCAGAACTCCCTGAAGCAGGGAGCAGGAGGAAGAAGCCTCCTTATCCAGGAGGAGACTGTGGCTCTTGCACAGCATGCTCTGCTCTGAGTGTGCATTTGCCAGCAGCCTCCCTTCCAGGAAGAGTGGCAGGGACACATGCTGACTCCAATCAACCCTGACACATCTCCCAAAGCCATTGAAAATGAATGCCTTTCTCCTAAGACTCTGCTCTTTTATGTATGAGGCCATCTCCTTGCTGACTGATCATTTGAGTTCTGAGCCAGGAGAGCTGATGATAAGACCTTGGATAAATGGTGACCCTACCAAGGTCAAGATGCTCTGTATTTCATGCACGGGGTTTTCCCTGATCATCACAGACCACGAGAGCCACCCAGAGGCTCCAGACTGAGGCCCGGTACCTTGTATCCCTGGTTGATGCCGTTGATAAACTGCTGCGGGGGTGGGTTCCACAGGAACTGCACAGTGGTGGAGTTCACCGCTTCCGCCTGCACGTTCTGTGGGGGCGCGGTCGGCACTGTTCCAAGGCGGTCATTGGAGACAGCAAAACAAATGGCAGGCGGCACAGTGGAGAGGAGAGATGAAAAAGAAACCCTTAGCCGCCACTCACAACTCACAGGCAATTACAGGACGGAGACCGGGAAGTGTGAGGGATGTTTCTGGAAGCTGAGAGTGGCATCACAAAGAGGGGGAATTGGGCTATTTCTCATTTTCTATTGGGAAATTCCTTAAGGCATAGGCAGAAAACTGGACCAGATCATCTTCTCATTCCACATGAGAGACTTTCCCACAGATTCAAGATGGACAGCAAGTGAGCCTTTCTCTAATTCCTTTTCTCAGTTGCCCGATAGTTGAGACGGAGGCGAGGTGTCATCTAGAAACCCCCCACCATTACCTACCTCTGTGTTCAAGCTCAATTATTCTTTCTATATAAAAAGCAAGCAAGCAAAACAAAAACACTGCCACTTCCTGTACGCTTTGGTTGTTGATACATTTGGAAGCAAAACTTCCCTGGGTCAACCTCAACAACTACTTTGGGCTTTCCCACGGTTTCTTTCCTTCACTGAACAGCTACAGGATCCACTGATGCACCTTTGAGGGCTGTGCGTCCTGGCCTAGTGCTCCTGGAATGGCGAGTGGGGAGAAACGTGCCTCCACTCTGGAAGGGATGGAAGCTTCATTTGGTCTAGACTGAAAGAAAGGCTCAAGCTGGGAGGGGGCCGACCTGGAGAATGGCACTCTTGCTGGGGAACAGTGAGACCAGCATGGCATTAGGAAGGCGCCTGTGAGGTGGGAAGTAGCGAGCGGAGCCAGGCAGGGCATAGGGCGATAGGAGTGAGGACGTGGCTGGTCCCCTTGGGGTTGACTAACACACCCTGCACAGTGGCTGGCCATGCGTATGGTGGGGAATGGGGGATTGAAAGCTTTGTAGAAAGGGCAGTGGTGCGACAGGACTGGCTTTCCCAGGAGGGCAACCCCTGTAGCCTGCAGAGAGCAGCCACTGGCTGGACCATCAGACCTTCTGCAGGACAGCAGGATGGTCCTGGCTCTTCAGGTCCGTGTTCCAAAAGTGAGGCACAGAAGACCAAAGGATCCTTTGACTTCCAGGAGACAATGCCAGGGTCTCCTGCCCCACAACACATGGTCCTGTTAAAAATCACTGCACTTCCCATGGCTCTCACATCATCAGGCAGAGATGGGAAACATGAGCATCACCAAGCCGAGTTGTGCTGTCGTTCCACCTGCTGCTGACCTTGGCCATATCATCCCCTCATCTTTCCCTCCACAACTCACCAGGGAAACTGTCTGACCTCCCTCTCAGCACCCATGTGAAACTGTGGATTAAAAATGGCACAAGGACAGCTATGCCTGGAATGTAGTTCAAATTACAAGAAAATATGGGGCTCCCCAAGCAGTCTGCCTCCCGTCCCTCAATGACCACTGTGCAGTTGGGTGAGGAAAACAAGCTGGCTTCCTCTACAGACTACTGCTGTAGGCTGGAGTGGGCTTCTTGACAGTATAGAGTCCTTGGGAGCCACAGAAACACACATAGGATGCTTTACATACACAGAAACAAAGATGCAAATTCTCAGTGTTTCCCTGGAGAATTTCACCAAACATTTGGGGAATAATTTAATTAGTTCTCAAGCATTACCCTGATAGCAAAATCAGAATAAAAGAACATTTAAAAAAAGAAAATTATAGACTAATATCCCTCCTGAACACAAGTTCAAAAACTCCTCAACAAAATGTTAGAAAATAAAATTCAGCAGTGTATAAAAATCATAATCTAGCCTGATCAAGTGGGATTTATCTTATAACTGCAAGGCTGGTCCAGCATTTGAGTATTAATCAAAGCAAAATGCCATATTGATAAAATAAAGAACAAACACTGTCATCTTAATGGGTTTAGAAGAACATTTAATAAATTATAACATCCAGTGAGGATGTTTTTTAAAAAATCCACCTCTCAGCAAAGGAGAAATTTAAAGGAAGTTCATAAACTTGATAAAGTGTATCTACAAAGCACCTACAACTGATGTCTCATTTAAGATGAGAGGCTGAGAGCTGACTCTAAGATCAAGGTTGAGAAAAAAGACACCTTTCTCTTCATTCCTATTCTGGAAACCCAAATCAGGACAGTAATGCACGAAGAAGTGAAAGGCACACTGATATAAAAGCCAGGGAAGCCGCTCTTTATTCAGAGAGCATATGATTGTCTATGTGGAAAATTCCCAAGAGTGAACACAATTAAAGCTTCTAGAACTAAGTGAGGTTAGAACGTTCACAGGACACAAGATCAAAATACAGAAATCAATTATATCTCCAAACACAGGCAAGATACAACTGGACACTGAAATTTTTAAAAAATCAGTGCTGCTTAAGGTAGAAATAAAAAGATAAAATAGACACAAACACTGTACAAGGTTTATACTGTGAAAACTAGGAAACCTGATCAAAGAAAGCAAGGACCTAGGTAATGCAGTCACAGCATATCAACAGGATGGAAGACAATGGAGGAGAGGGGACCATCTGATCTCCACAGGGAACTAATCCCAAAGTCACAGCTGGATACTTCTTAGAAATTGAAAAGGTGATTTTAAAATTTATATAGAAAGGCAAAGTAATTAGAATAGCCAAAACAATTTTGGAAAAAAAAATGGACAAACTTTAATACTTAAAGACTAACTGTGAATCTACTAATTAAAACAGAGTGATACTGGAAGATGGATGGACACATTGATTAATGACCTAGAACAGAATCCAAAAATTACTCACACATATATCAACTGGTTTTCAAAAAAATCACAAAGATAATCTTTCCAACAAATGATGATGAAGAAATTATATATCAGTATGCAAAAAAAAAAAAAAAAAGAAAGAAAGAAAAAGAGAAAGAAAAATCTAAATCTATACCTCACACCATCAATAAAAACTAACTCAAATGGATCACAGGGGTAAGCACAAGCCTATAATTATAAAACTTCCAGGAAAAAAATAGTTGTGACATTGGGTAAGGCAAAATTTCTCGGGTACAGCACCAAGGACACAATCCACAAAAGAAAAGATAAGTTTGATTTCATCAAAATAGAAAACTTCTTTTCTATGATAAACATCTGCTAAGAAAATGAAAAGACGGCCAGGGACTGGGATGCAGTGTCTGCAGTGTCATCCGATATCTGATAAAAGACTGTTACTCAAAATACATCAGGAACTTTCAAAATCCATTGACAAGAAAACCAAAAACTCAAAATGTGGATAAAGGAATCAAATAATTACCTCATCAAAGAAAATATGTTGGAAAATAAGCAGGTGAAAAGACCCTCAGCATTGGTGGCCACAGGGAAATTAGAACCAGGATATGACACCACCTTTAACTGATGAAAGGGCTAAAATAGAACAAAGAACAATAACATTCAAATGCTAGTGAAGATATGAGGCAAATGACACACTCAGTAGCTGGGAACAAAGTGGTACAGCCAGGCAGAACAGGTTGCAGTTTCTTAGAAAGCTAAACGTGTAGTAGCCACAGAACCCAGCCATCCTGCTCCTAGGAATCTGTGCAAAAGTGCAACACTCAAGTTCACATAAAATCTGTTTGCAATGTTTACAGCAGCCTTAATAATCCCCCCAAAACTACAAAGAGCCCAACTGTTGGCCAACTGGTGGATGGGTAAACAAACTGTGCTACCTCCCTGGAGGGACACTGGTCAGCAACAAAGGGAGCAAAACTACTCATACAGCAGCAACCTGGTGACTAGATTACAGGGAAGGAGCCAGATTCCAAAGACTACATGTGGGGTCACTTCATTCACTTTATTCTCTATAAAAGACAAAATCGCAAGAAGAGAAAGAATCAGTGGTTGTCAGGGCCTGGGTGTAGGGGTAGAGGGTTGAGCATAAGGGGTAGTGTCAGGGAGGCCAGAGAATATGGAAATATTCTCTCTCTCAACCATGGTAGCAACTGTGGACTAAAAATGGCTGTGGAACGTAAGGTACTGTGGCCCAGAAAGGGTGGATTTTACCAGATGTTAAATATACCACCATAAATTTCACTTTAGACATGCTGAATTGGTGGTCTCTATGCTAGGGCCCCTTGAATGTGCGTTCTCTGACTCCTTTGACCAACAGGATATGATCTAGGCCTTGATGAAGTAGCACGTTTCCCTTTCTGGGAGCAGAAAGTGGTGTTACTGGAGAGGACGGGCACACTCATCAATGACACAGAAAAGAGGGTCTAGCAATTACTCACACATGAATCAATCAGTTTTCAATACGAGCACAAGGGAAAAAGTCTTTCCAACAAGCAGCACTGGAAAAATTGGACATCCTTCCTGGAGCCTTACCAGCCATGTAGAAAGTTCAAGTACACTGAGACCACTGTGGGGGAGAAGCCACGTGCAGGTGCTGCAACAGAGACTCCCCGGGGAGCCTCCCTGTCACCATCAACATGGTGTGGAAGCCCCCTTCCACCTCCCTCCGCAGATGAATGAGTGACACTCCGTGGAGAAGAGCTACCACCCAAACCCTGCTCAAGACCCTGACCACAACATCATGACCCACAACATAATGGTTGTTGCCCTTGACTGCTAAGTTTCAAGGTCATCTGGTATGCAGCAAGAATATTGCCAGGGCAATATTCTCTGGCAGAAAGAAAAAAAGAGAAAAAAGGAAAGAGGAGGAGGAAGAAAAAATAACAAAGGGGAAAGCGCAGGGGAAAACATCAGAAGCTCCTGGGAAACACCAAAACACGTTTTGCCTTTTTCTGTAGAATCCATGCTTTTTGGGACTAAAGAGGAATTCCTTTCGTCCTTCGTGTTGCACCTTCAGAATAGCATCCGTCCCAATTACTGCTTGTGAGTTTATAATGCTTTTTCATCAAATGTCATTAAATTCTCTAAAATAAGACATGGATCATATGCTAGGAAAAAGGATACGTAGCCCAATCTAAATCGGAAATGACTTTCCAAGTTTCAAGAGGACGCCTGTACCTTTGTTTCTCTTCCCTGTGGTGTA